CAATAAACTTTTTATTTGCAAACAAAATGAAATGTATATTATTTGAAACAAATAAATATATTTATTTTGAAAATTAAAAGAAATAAATATTTGAAAATAAAAATAAAAATTTTTGAACCAAATATTTGTTTTTTTTTCGCATATTTATACAAAAAGTGTCTATCTGTCTGTTTGTCAGTCCATCGGTTCGTATTGAAAAATAAAATCAAATGTAATCGGAAAAAAAATAGTGAAATATAATATTATAATACTGAATAAAATATATTAATTAGATTCGATATTTATTTCATGTATAGGTATATATATATATATATACGGCTTGTTAATTATGATAGAATCCCACTCTGTCTAGTTGAAATGTCTCCACAGAGTCTATCTTGACCGACAATTTGTATATGTATATAACGTTGCATATTAATAGACTAATTGCATCATGAACATTAAATAGATTCAACGCGTTATCTCTATACCATTGCAAATAATTCACGGTGACTGATCTGTTCATCACGTTCTTGACAAAATCATTTAATTAGCTGTGGTATTTTCATTATAATTTTCCCATCATATATATTTCAATATTCATCATTGTTATATAATTACTTAATTATATTTAACAATTAATACCTATATCATCATTGGCATTTTTTTTTTGCTTTAATAAAATTTTGTTTCATTTTTCCATTTATTTTATTTTAATTATTTTTTAATTTTTGTATTTTGCAGTTTTGTATTTTTTTAAATTTTTATTATTATTATTTTTTTTCATTTTTTTTTTTTTTTGCTTTTCTTGTATTTTGTACCCCCACAGCATCGAAACTTTCCTAAAGATTTCCTAAAGATTTATTTTAAATGTTCGGAATATTTAATTGCAAAGTTTAGTGAAAGTTTTGCGCTAAACATTTATTCAATTGCAACATTTAAATCTTTACATAACTTTCAATAAACGTATTGCAATTAAATATTATCCGAACATTTCAAATAAATCTTTAGGAAATCTTTAGGAAAGTTTCGGTGCTGTGGGGGTATATTTGTGCTGTATTTTGTAAATTTTGTTTTTGTAGCCAAGTTAATTATTTTACCCTATTATTTGAAATTTTTGACATAACCTCAAAACAACTTTACAGTATAATAAAAAACATCTGCCCCGGGGGATTAGGGTATATTTACTATATAATTTTGGATTCGCTAAAACCAAATCCGAAGTACAATTTACCTCAACATGTCAAATTTTTGACATAACCTCAAAAAATCTTCACAAGAATGTAAAAAATTGGTTTGATTGTTAGGCCGCAAGGAATTTGTGCTCTTTTTTTAAAGGTTATTTTAAAAATCTAACATAATGGGGTAAAATGAACTTTATATTCGATTTCAGCTACTCCAAAAATATACAGTAATTATATGGTTTCATCCCAGGCGATAATTATTTTTTATTTTTGTGCAGCTAAGAAGTTTTTTTTAAGGCCAGGTCCAAGTGAGGCAGCGCCATCTACATTGAAACTAAAATTTTGGAAAATTTTCAACAGCCTTTTCTTGAAAACAAGAAGGTAAAATGCTTTTTCCTTTATGGATAATTGATTATTGGCAAGATATACACCAGCTAAAACTTTTTTTGAGTTAAAATAATAAAAAAAATTTCATGTCAATAAATTAAATATGAGCACTTTTTTCACAATAACTGTAACAGTACTTTCTCAGAAATTACAATCAAAAATGCAATTTCCATTTGGAAAATTAATAAACGCTAAAAAATACACGACCTAAGATTTACCAATCACGAAAATAACAAAAAAAAAGTATTTTAACATAACATATTTTACTCATTGTGACAGCCGTTTGGCAGGTTATATATGTCAACAGACGTTTCGCAGTTTTGCCGAAAGGAGGAGATTGGCGCTGTTGCTAACCACCTGAAATACATAATTTACCAAAGGGCTGTCACAATCAGTAAAGCAGTATCAATATGTTAAGTATTTAATAAAATTTTTTTTTGTTATTTTCGTGATTGGTAAATCTTAGGTCGTGTATTTTTTAGCGTTTATTAATTTTCCAAATGGAAATTGCATTTTTGATTGTAATTTCTGAGAAAGTACTGTTACAGTTTTTGTGAAAAAAGTGCTCATATTTAATTTATTGACATGACATTTTTTTTATTATTTTAACTCAAAAAAAGTTTTAGCTGGTGTATATCTTGCCAATAATCAATTATCCATAAAGGAAAAAGCATTTTACCTTCTTGTTTTCAAGAAAAGGCTGTTGAAAATTTTCCAAAATTTTAGTTTCAATGTAGATGGCGCTGCCTCACTTGGACCTGGCCAAATCAAAATCCTGACTTGATAGGTCGGTAAAACAGATTTAATTGATTATATCAATAATAACTGAATTTTAGTGTTAAATTTCAACTATTTCGTCAGTAAAATCTCATTGATTTAAATTTAGAAAGTAAATTTTTTAAATTTTATCCCGAATTTTATATTAAACATTTACTAAGGAAAATATTTTGATCTACATTATATTTGTTAGTTTTGCAAAATTCGTTAAATTTAGGTTAAACTAACGGAAAAGCTTTGGAAAATTGAAAATAAATTTTATTTTGGAAAAATATTTTCATTTGAGCCGAAAAGTTATTTTAAATTTAAAAATGTAGTTTATAGTAGTAGTAATTGAGTTTAATTTTATATATTCCTTAAGGTGTTTTTTACATTCATTTCATCATTTTCCTTTCTAACATATTTTTTGAAATGAATATTTTTTACAAATTATTAATTGTTACTAATTATTAATAATAATTACTAACGAATTAAATTATTAATAATTAATAATAATTATTAACTTATTAATTATTAATATTAATTCATTGAATATTTGTAAATTAATATTATTTTTATTTGTCAAATAATTATTATAAATAATTACTAATCATTAATTATTCTCAATAGTTTATGTAATAAATCAAATTATAAATTTTATGGCTTAAAAAATTAATAAATTCTTAAAGTTTGCATTTTTAGAGAAAAAATATTATTTCATTATTTTAATATTTAATTAAATACCATTTTCTTATTAATCAAACAAAAATGTCAAATATTTATTCAATGAAAACAATGGGATTATTATTTATCAAATATTAGCGTATTTAATTAAAAATAAACAAAATTATTTTATAAAAACATTTGTTGAAGTAAAATATAATTATATACAAATTATTTAATTTTATAATTCATTTAGCAATTAATATTAATAATATTTAAAAATTTATATAATTATAACTATTTGTTTACTCCACTATTGTATAATTAATAAACAAATAAATAGATGACTTGTTTTTAATATATATATATATATATATATAGGAAATAAAAATTTCGTAAAACAATTTTTTATCGCAAGAACCTCGTGCTAATCGAATTAATTGGCATTACATCTCTTGTTGAAATAGCCAAAGTGTAGGTTGCGTCTATGAATATATACAGTTTTATTCATCACTCGCGATCGATTCGAGAGAGTGCTTTTAGAATCACGTGGAGGAGAAATGCACCGCATAAATTCAAACTTTGTGGTTCGCGTCATTTGTAGGATTCTGATGACGCAATTCCCGTAGAAAATAAGTTGTTCATCTTTTTACAGTTTAATGCCCTCATGATGGGAGAAAGTCAATATTATACACGAAGGTCATAATATATAGACATATATAAATATATATATATATATTTCATTTCCATTTTTCGCGATAAACAAATACACACCAGAAAAAAATTAAATTTACATAAATTTTTTTTTCTTACATAAAAATTTATTTCTATATTTAATATATTTTTCTTTTTTTTTTACAATTTATTGTAGTCACGTATACTTTTATCAAAAAGGAAAATTTATTTTTTTCTCTCAAAGTTAAATAAATATATTTGTTACAAATTTCTAATTTTTATTAAATACAATTTTAGTAGCAAATTAAAAATTTTATTTGCGCTAAATAAATTTTTTTTTAGTACAATTTAAATGAATATAACGTTATTTATTTTATTTTATTATTTTTAATAAATTGACAAACTGTATGGTAAATAAAAAAAAATTTGCCTAAAACCTTTATTTATTAAAATCGATTTTTTTAATTCAAATATAGGAGAGAGTGAGCAACAGTGGACTACAGTGGATCATTTCAGTTTTTTGAAAAATGATTCAAAAAAAACTCTACCAAATTTTAAATATAAATTAAGTTTACATATACCAACTTATTTTTATATTTAAAGTTTGGTATAATTTTTCTAATCGATTTTCCAGAAAACTGAAATGTTCCACTGTAAACCATTGATCCACTGTTGACCACTCAAATCATAAATTTTATTTGTGGTTAGAATAAAAAAATTTTTGTATTATTGTCGTCATATATTAAATTTCTCTTTATTCTTCAGAAAAATATTTTTAATAAAACAAAATTTCAGGAAAGTCCAAAATATTAAAAAACCATTTTTAATCTAATATTTAATTAATTGATAAACATTTGTCGTCTTAATTTTCACAATGCGTGTTAACACAGCTGATGATATTTTGATTGAGACGTGTTTGAACATATATTTATACTTATAGAATACAATTATAAGTACATTACATCACAAATGAATTGAGTTACAGGCAATAAGGAAATTTATAATTTACATCTTATCAGACACATTAATATTGGTTCATTATTATTATTAAAAAAAAAAATTTTTTAATTAAATTACAAACAATCGATTGCATTTTTAAATTGTTTCCAATTTGAATTAAAATTTTTTTTTTAAATAATAAACCAATACCGATGTATCTGATAAAAAGTAAATTTTAAATTCGTTTCGTAATAATTTTTTTAGTTCTCCCAAACGTCGTTATTGCGACGAGAAATATAAAAAAAAGAAAAGGAGCATGAAAAAAATAACGGTAAAAAATCGTTCTATTGAAATATGTTGAACTATATAGTGATTTTTCTATTTATAAAATAAATATATTCAACAGGTGAGACTTACTCAGCCATAGTGAAGTTCGGCAAGGTTGACAACTTAGTCTCAGGAAAGATATCACAGTCGTTGAATCACAATGCGTCGACTTAAATATTAACTCAATATGCGATTATTTGGTTAAAAATAAATGACTTTTTTTCAAAATAATAAAAAAAAAATTGTTAAATTGAAAAAATAAATTACTCCTTATAATCGAAAAGAAGATATTTTAATTTTGTCGAAATTGGCAATTTTTTTTCTTCTTCTTTATTTAAATCACAAATGTTTCCAAATTGTCCGGCCAATTTCATAAAACCCCGCGAGAAGTTTTGCTCGTCTCTCACGATTCATCGGTACTGCGCTCTTTTTAAACGGGAGAGTTTATTATTAATTTTTTTTTAACGACACAATTAAAAATAGTATTAAACTATTTTATTTTCTTCTTCTTCTTCTTTTTTTTTACTTTTATTTGTGCGATTTTTGTATTCACGTTTATGAAATTCACGTCGTCGCGCTTATAAAATGAAGTGCGACTATTGCTTCGTCGTGTGTGTTAAACCCGCGCGAAGCGAATGTACTCAAGTGAGAAACGGTCAAAGCTTTATATATAAAACGAGCTTTTCGCGAACGCACATCATTGGTTTAGTGGAGGGGGCGTGTGTATATGTCATACGCTGATATGAAATATATATATATATATATACATATATATACATATGTATATATAATGATGTGAAATTTTAATTGTCCACGAAAGTGAAACCGGAAAAAAAGTTTGTTGATCGCGGACTATCTGATAATAAATCGTTGAACTTACAAAATTTTGGAACGAATGAATATTTTCTAAAAAAAATCGTTAGAATTTACATTTTATAAAATTTCATTTAATATAATTATTTTTCAGTCGAATTTTTATTCAACTGATTTAGTTACTTAATTTTAATTTATTTCATTTAATACAGAATTTTTATATAACGAAAAAATTCACTTCACAGAATTTTTATTTGTTCGAATTTTTTATTTTTAAAAATTTTTTATTTACTCGACATTTTATTTTAACCCCTTGACTGTCGACGAGATTTCCACTATTTGGGCCAAAAGTGTGTTGAAAAAAAATTTTAATGAATTTTTATGAAACTTGGTATCTTAAGGTTTTTAGGGTCGTTGATTACGAACCTAAGGTCGGATTTTCAAAATTCAAAATGGCGGATCCAATATGGCGGACGACAATTTGAAAATATAATGCAATTCGCTTGAAAATGGGTACTCGGGGGTTTTTGGGGTCGCTGATTACGAATCCCATGTTAGTTTTTTAAAATTCAAAATGGCGGATCCAATATGGCGGACGACAATTTGAAAATATAATGTAATTCTCTTAAAAATGTGTATTCGGGGATTTTCGGGGTCGCTGATTACTAATTCGATGTTAGTTTTTTAAAATTCACTGATGTCTCACTCATAATCAGCGACCCCGAAAACCCCCGAGTAACGAGTTTCGAGCGAATTGCATTAGATTTTCAGATAGTCGTCCGCCATATTGGATCCGACATTTTGAATTTTGAAAATTTGATGTCATATTCGGAATCAGCGAGCCCGAAAACCCCTGAGTAACGAGCTTCAGTCGAATCCGATCAATTTTGAAAAATTTTCCGCCATAATGGATCCGCCATCTTGAATTTTAAAAAACTGATATCAGATTCGTAATCAGCGACTCCGAAAACCCCTGAGTAACCATTTTCAAGCGAATTATATCATATTTTCAAATTTTCTTCCGCCATATTGGATCCGCCATTTTGAATTTTGAAAAACCGACCTCAGATTCGGAATCAGCGACCCCAAAAGCCTCCGAGTAACCAGTTTCAGAAATATTTGAGATGTTTTTCATCACTTTTTTTAAGTTGCGCATATATGCGTAATTTTATTTAACTTAGTATCTAGGGGGTTTCGAGGTCGCTAATTACAAATCTGACTTCAAATTTTGAAAATTAAAAAATTTTTTCTTTTAAATTTCCGTCATATTGGATCCGTCATTTTTAATTTTCAAAATCTGACTTCAAATTTGTAATCAGTGACCTCGAAAACCCCTAGATACTAAGTTACGTGAAAATTAAAAAAAATAAATTAAAAATTCGTCCGTCATATTGGATCTGCCATTTTGAATTCTGAAAATTTGACTCCATATTCATAATCAGCGACCCCAAAAACCCTAGAGTTATGTATTTTAAGTGAATCCAACCAATTTTTAAAAAATTTGTTAGAATTTGAGGTTAGAAAAAATATTGACGTGTTGGGCAATTCTTACCCTCAGATTCGTGTTCAGCGCACCAAAATACATGGGGGTAGAGTACTCAGGTCAGGCGCACATGATACTTTTTTTGTGCGAGGCTATATTATTTAATAGAATTTCCATATAACTGATTTTTCATACTACAGAATTTATCCCTACTTAATCGAAAAATTATTCAACAGAATTTCTGATTGATAGAATTTTCATTTGTCCGAACAAAAAACAAAAATTATCCATAAAATTGTGATTGGTTACTTTTAAAAATAGCGCCAAATCTTTCTGTTGTTTTGTTCGGTAACTTGCAATTTCAGACAAATAAAAATTAAATTAGAAGATTTTGTTAAATAAAAATACGAAAAATTGAAATTTTTTTAGACGAATTTTCATTCTTCGAATTAGTATATGATAGAATTTCTTTATTTAATTTATTTAATTTAATTTTTAATCGAATTTTATCTGATTCGAATTTTTAAATGACAAAAATTCCAATTTAATTTGTTCGAATTTTTATTTGTACGAAATTTTAATTGATAGAACTTTTAAGACGTGTTTAATTTTCATTTGTATGAAATTACAAATATTCGAACAAACAACAGAAAGATTTCAGCACAATTTTTAAAATTGACCAATTAGAAATTATCAAGAAAATCGTGATTGGTCAATTTTAAAAATAGCGTTTAAAAATAGTAATTCTTTTTGTCGATTGTTTCTTCGGCCATTTGTAATTTCGGACAAATGAAAATAAAATTGTGTATCTCAAAAATTTTATCAATTCAAAATTCGAACAAATAAAAATTCTGTGTATTGAAATTTGGCATTTAAAAATTCGAATCACATGAAATTCGATTGAATGAGAATTCTGTTAAATTAAAATTCTCATACATTACCGTGGATGTATCAGTTACCGTCCATGTCCCAGTTTCCGTCCATTTTACAAATATCTCGTATAGTAATTTAAATTATTTTTTAACAATAATTTATTCCTTTTGGCACGCAATCGACTTATTAGTTTAAGTAAACAAATAAAAGAAAATAATTTTTTTATAAATGTTATTTTGAAAATTAAACTGGACGGAAACTAGGTCTTAGGTGGACGGTAATTATGTCAAACAAAAATTCGGAAGCTAAAAATTTGTTATGTAAAAATTCGTACAAAAAGAAAAATTCTATCAAATGATAATTCAAAAAAGTGAAAATTCTTCTAAAAAATAATTATTTCGGTAATATTGCAGAATAAGGACTTTTCTCAATTTTTAAAATTTTTGGTTCATTCCTTATGGAATATCTTTATTTCTAATGAAATTCTTTAAAATGAAAATTCTAATTAAAGATTTTTATGGGAAATTCATGTGCCCCAAATAAAAATTCTGTAATATTACGTGATCGATTATATTATAATTTCTTTTATGATTTTCGTTCTTTTAAATATTGATATCATTAATTTAAAAAAAAATCACAAATGTGATTACAGTTATAAAAAACGTTTCTTTACTTGAGAAAAAGATTCTTTCTTCAACATTTGTTAAAAACACACAAATTATATTAAATAAATTTTGTATATAAATGATATATATAATAAACTACTGATTCATAAAATTATAAAGGGAAACACTTAGATAAAAGCGAGAGAAAAATTGTATGAAAAATTTTAAATATATGACATTTATATAGAGATTGAGAGTTACATATCCAATTTTTTTTTAAGAAAACACCTTTTTTATTATGAAAAATAATATTGTAAATATAATACAATCAATCCTCATTACCTTTTTATGACTATCTATTTTGGTCCCTCTGTATGACGTACATTGATTTTGGTAGATTTCTTATCCTAATAATAATAATAATAATTGACCTATCATTTAGAATTAAGAGTTGTGCGATTGTCTAATCGTATAAAAATTTTAATGAACTAAAATGTCAACAATGTTAAAAAGGCAAGCAGTGAAATTAGATAAAATTTGTACTTTAAGTATATATATTATGAATGATTATAATTGAAGAGATAATAAAGATAAAGTAATTTAAAACTATATAAAAGTTATGCTACTGTTTGACATATATAATACAATAATTTCAATATATACATATATTAACAAAACAATATTTATCATTTTGGTTTATGGTATTTATTTTGGTATTTATCATTTCCAACATTTTGGTTTTGGTTATTAATTGAGTAGCTGCCTGCAATAACTCGCCGAGCGCTTGGCCGATCGCTCTAACGCCAGTCAAACGTTCAAAAACGTGAAAAAAATGAAAAATCAAAATTTTGATTTTTGAAAAGTCCAATCTTGTAGGACATAAGATGGCGCATCTTTTTTTCCTTTGAGTTTTTTTTGTAGATCAAAAAATAGAGTTAATATATGCAAAACACTTAAAAATTTTATTTCACAAATTTCATTCAATTTTTAAACATAAATCGTAGTATCTTTGACAAATTTTAATGAATCTTATTGAAAATTAATATACATGCGTATTTAGGTCCATGGAAGACGACAACATAATCAAAAATATTAAAATCATCAATTGTTTATTTATAATTAATTGTAAATGAAGACTTGTCAATAATAATGTTTACTTACCTTTGTCGACATAAAGTGTGTGGGGAACTTCAGAGTTGAAGAAACTTCCAGTGAGACATTTGTTTATCATAATGTAAGGAAGTTTTTTGTAAAATATAAAAACAATTTATCAACAACTTTAGAAAATATAGAACGTTTAAGAAAACATGCGCGACGCGCTAGCGAGTCTCCGCGCGGAGAATTGCAAACAAGAGTTGTAGAGGACCGAAAATACAGAAACAAATATTGTCACTACATTCTTAGAAATGTTTTTCAAATAAAATATGTGTTAATTTTATGAAAATGCAAATTAAATTTGAACAACTGTTTTTTTAATATTTACTAAATAATCAATAGTTTTAAAATATTTTGGTGCTTGTATGTACTGTTTGTGCAGTTTGCAAATAAGTTTTTTAATAATTAATATTAAGGTATATCTTTATTTTCTGTTTCTTCATTTTTTTAAGAAATTAGTGTATTGTTACATATCAACAGTGATAGTATGTTGGCTCCATTTTCAAAACATAATATATCAGAACATAACATAACGTCCTTCTTAACTCTTGTGTGCAATTCTCCGCGCGGAGACTCGCTAGCGCGTCGCGCATGTTTTCTTAAATGTTCTATATTTTCTAAAGTTGTTGATAAATTGTTTTTATATTTTACAAAAAACTTCCTTACATTATGATAAACAAATGTCTCACTGGAAGTTTCTTCAACTCTGAAGTTCCCCACA